TTGCCTTGATTAAATCGGTCAAATCTATTCAACTTATAAAACATATACAAGAAGACTTTATTAGGCAGCCAAGGGTCAACCGTCAAAGTCAATAACACAGCAGCCTAGAAGTTGCTAAAAGCTTTCTCCATAGCTTAAAGTAAAAAAATTATTTTGTTTTTATGCATCTTTTGGTCAATAAAGAATGGTCATTGTCCTTTATGTATAATATATGCAAAAGACACATTTAACCCTCATTTGGGATGAATTAAAATCCATATTAATTTTAGTCAAAGTCAACAACTAATTTTAACCATACATTTTATAAAATTCACAACTTTTCAACTATACATTTCAACAAGTTTTACCAAAATTTACCAAAAATTTGATTTTAATTCCCACCAAATAGGAACTTAGGGTCCGTTTGGTAGGAATTTTGAGAATTGATTTTTTGACCGTTAGAAAAAAAGTGGGGTCCACATGTGAGAGAAGAAGTCAAAAATTACGACTTGAATAGTAAAATAACGGTCAAAAAATCAATTTTTTGAGCCAAAAAATCTCTACCAAACGGGGCCTTAATGTAGTGTGTAGATAGACTACAAAATAGAGTAAACAAATGGACTATAAACTCTTCCTATTTTATCTAGTACTTAGTCAAATATTTCGAAATTTGTAGGAAAATGAGGAGAAAGTGTTTAGATGAATTATAAATTCTTGTTAACTTTGTAAATAATTTGATAATTCGATATTCGTGCAAAAAGCAGAAGATAATTTGAGAACACTTTTGAAGAATATAATTATAATAATTTGACATTATAAAAAAACCAAAAAATGGTTGACATGATTTATATTCGAACACATTTGACGATAAAAATAAATGTTTAACCTTATTATAAGACTTTTCTAAGTGGCCATATGGGAAGAAGGAAGCATGAATATTCTTGTTGTCGATCTAAAATTCATGTTAGAAGATGAGAGTTCTCTTTGATTTGGTCAAAAGAGCATTCTTATCGAAAAGTTCAGATAGATCAACTCTTGATTCAATACCTCATCGATATAGTTATGAATCAGACCATGAGAGATGTTGTACGAAAATAATCATGACATGATAGAGGAAGTGTTCCCTTGATGTCAACACCGTCTAAACGAATTAATCAGAAAGACAATATGATGACTTATGCCACAATTCAAATAAATAGTATCATGATGATCCATCACGGCAAGACTCACCGATCAATCAGTTTCCTTCAAAAGGGCAATGACACACGAGTCAAAAATACTATAGATAGACATGTTTTGATAGTAAGCTTTCTGCTAATCTGCATAGAAGGACAAAGGTGAAATGTGTGAATGAGAAGGAAATCCAAACTAAAATTCTCTCTATGCAATTACTATACTTCGGAATTATAACACTCTTATTCAATTTAAATTTGTTTAAGTAGATAAAAAGTACAACGTTGTTTTTCGCCATCAACAAATACGATTTTGATTTTTCCCAAATACAACGACGAAGAAGTGAAGAGTCAAGAAGCCGTCATCTAATGAGAATGGCCCATTTTCAGAATGTAAATAGTTGAGGCAACTCTAGCAGTCCAAAAGTTTGTTCAACAATTGATGGTGCTTGTCATTTTCACACAGTGAGTCAATGAGTCCAATGCATTTCAATTCAATATGGCTAATGACATGAAACCATGCTAGGTGTACTGGTAAAGTTTCATTTTTTTTTACAAGTTTCCGCTCGACCTTTTTTCATTGGTTCTTGACAACACACACACAAAAGGAACCAATAAGGTGCTTGCAAACAATTCCCCTGTGCATGACCCCATGACAAATCGCCTAGCACATTTTTTTCCATTCGTTGTTTGCTTTAATTTACTCAAAACCTCACATAGAAGAGTTAAAAATCACGTTTTACTTCAAAGAAAGAATATGTCTTTTTAATTCCTGTTTGAGCCCCATTATTTAAAATTTCAATTTTCATCAAACTCATTTTCAACCACATATTCTCCCAATAATATTATTTTACACGTAAATTTAAAATATTTTCTTACTTTTTAATCAAACATTTTCCAAAAATTCACTATCACAAAATTTATTATGTCAAAAAATGGGACTCTGACAAATCCATAGTTCCCTTGCTTAAATATTGAACCATACAATGAGGTGAAATCGAAATGCAATGTAAGGGCCAATAGTAGTACGGTCAAATTGCTTTCAAAGTGTATTTCTGATTACTCCAATAGACCCCTTGCTACGAATAGTGTCCTTAGAGTCGGGTTTGTTTTAAAGTGTTAAAAGCATTTTCTGATTATAGAAAGAAATAGTTCGCTAAGTCTGACTACATACTCTAGGAACGATACGAAGGCAAAAAGGTATAATGCATCAACTTATTGAAAACGTTATCTTTAGACCAATTCACTTATCTCTCTATCTTTCAGGCTTTTCATCGAAATTTTTCCCGGTTCAAGTAAATTGGAATGCAAATATTGGCCCAGAGTTGTATAGATTATTAGAGACTAGCGACACAACAAATCTTTAAAAGACAAAAATGCAAATACGACACAATTCAGATAACTCTTCGTCGCAAGACTCTAATATATATTTTCCTTTTTATAAATTAATTTTAGTAGATTTACTCTACACAAGCACTAGTTCCTACTAATCAGACTAATCTTTAGCATTGCTTTGGTTCATAATTGGCAACACCTCAGCTTTATGTCAACAACACTTTTCTTAACTCTACTACACTAACAAGAAGGGATTGACAGTTTCCTTGACCGAACGCTCACAATACGGAGGTAGGGGCCACTTTTTTTTTTAATTTTTTATTCACGCGGATCTCCATCTCACGCGAAAGGATGTCAAGGTTTCTATCAACAATTTTCGATTAACTCAACTTAGTTTTACTTTTCTATAGACACCACTACTGATGATGACTTTAAATACATAATTCTCAAATAATAAATTTAAAAAATAGTACATTAGTATTAAATAATAAATAAATTATTTATTAATATTAAATATAGAAAATTACAATTTCATTAAGTCTCAATAAATAAGATCGAAACTAGTAAAACTAGAAATTTCTCTGGAATATTTAATTGCTTTAGTTTTAATTTTTGCAAAATAGAATTCAATATATAAAACTTTGCTAAAAATAGCATTCCATCTGCCTATTAAATAATTTCAAATATTATATACTTTTAAACATAGTCCCTTAAATAATAAACTTAACGGAACAAAAATTAATAAATTTATTAATAATTTAATATACTAAAAAGTAATATTTTAATTATGGTGATTATATTGTCATCACAATTGTTTTTATTTATATCACACTTTTCTTATTTACTAAAATGACCATTTATAAAATGACTTAAATAACCACCATGTTTTACACATATTAGTTCTTTCACTTTCATTTTAAAAGGAGAATTGTACGGAAAGAACCGAAGAACATAAAGAGCAAGAGAAAACTAGAATAAAAAAGAGGAAGCTATGATTCACGCAAAGAAAGATCCATTCTAACTCTTTGAAACAGTGTTTGAAAAATTTTGCTCATTTAGCCCTTTTTTTATGTGAATCAAAATTAAATTTTCAATAAATTTCAATAAAAGTTGATGTCGTTGAAAAATTGTATATTCATAAAATGCATGGTTAAGATTAATGATTGATTTTGATGAAATTAAAAGCAAACAAGGTCTTAATAAATTCGAGTTTTTTCAATAAACACAATAGAACTATTTGTATTAGGTTTTCCATTCTTGTTAATAACATATATGCAATTTAAGTTTTCAATGATTTTACGATTATGGTTTTTAGATTTTTTTGAAGCGAAATTTAATGATTAATGTTAAAGTGCATTTTGATTTTTCATTATATTTTTGGTTAAAATAATTTGACATTTGAGAATTTGGAACCAATTGATTCAATTACATTGAATTGTGGAGTATACGTTGATGTCTTGCTCTGAATTCAATTGCCTCTTCATTGTGTGATTTATTTTATTTTACGTTAAAAAAAAAAAAAAAGAATTAAAAAGAGAGAAATGCTACAATGCCAGAGGAAAATTTCACATGGAGAATACACGCATTTCACAAATATGTGGGTCCCATGATTTTTGGGATATTTTTTTTAATGAGGTGGGAGTCATCTACTTGTGAGAGGTCTGTAAGAAGCCTGCGAAATTTTCCCTTAGAACTATAGGATTTCTTTTAAAACAATGAGGAGTAATATTGGGATGAAGAGCGCACAAAAATATTGTATTTTTTTCTTCATTTTTAATTTATTGAATTAGAACTATAATTGTAATTTCTTGTGCCGTATTTTAGTGCATTTTCATTCTTGAATTTTTTCTATTGTAATATTTTTTGGCTAAAATAATTTGACATTTGAGAATTTGAATCAATCGATTCAATTTGATTGAATCGTCGAGTATACATTCATATCTTACTCTGAATTCAATTATCTCCTCATCGTGTGATATGTTTTATGTTTTTTTTTTTTTTTTTAAATTGGATTAAAGCAACAAGAAGTAATACTGCAATGGAGAGTCCAAGAGTGCACAAAAATATTATATTTTTCTTCATTTTTAATTTTTATTGGATAAGGACTATAATTGTAATTTGTTGTATTGTATTTATTGAAAATATATTTTAATTTTGGTATGATTATAATGTGGTGTAGTGAGTAAAATTGTGATTTTAGTATATAACTACTCTTTTAATTATTTAACATTCTACTTATATATAATAAATAATAAAAGTTTCAATTAGTTGGAGGTTGAATTTAGAAGTTTCTATTAGTTGGAGGATCAATTTTGATGTTTACTATAGTTGGAGGATCAGGTTAGATGTTAATACTAGATGGAGGATCAATTTAGGTGTTAATAATAGTTGGAAGATCAATTTAGATGTTACAAATAGTTGGATGATCAATTTAGAAGTTTCCAGTAAATACAAAACTACTTTATAAAAGTATTTTTAATCAAATAAGTAGATTTCAGCCAAACGAGCCCTTAAGTGTTACTTATCGTCATTTGTAAACCCTCCGAGCTCGCTTTGCAGTCTCTTACTATCTGTTCTTCCTCTTTCTCCAGATGGCCTCTTCAAGAGTACTGTCCAGATTATCCTGTAGGTTACAAATTGGTGCTATGAAACTCCACAAGAATTCCACAATCTCAACGCACCCTTCACTCTTCAAAACTGCCTCTGAATCCTCCGTTAATAAGCGCTTCTCTCTCTTCTCAAGGTTAACGACTTATAGACTCATATATGTCATTCTCTGTCTATATTTTTGTATTTATTTAAGTTTTTTGATGCATTTTGAAATGTGGGTTTTAGGTTACCTGTGGAATTGAGTTGCGTGGAGACGATGATACCTTTGCACAGTGCAATAGCATCTGCTCGTTTGAGGTCAAGCTTGTCCCTTGAGTCCCAGAAATGGGGTTTAGTTCCTCAAGGTTTGCAATCTATTGATTTGCTTGACTGCATTTGATATGGCCATGTTTTTCATAAATGTCTACAAATGAAGCTTGAATTAGTTAAAATGGCAAGTGAAATATTTTTTACACAGTCGTGGTGTTTGACGCTACATTAGTTTTATCGACAATTTTCCGGCAGTCTTTTCGTTACTACCAGATTTTGAGATGAAACTTTCCTGGATTGGAATTAATTATGGCTTTGCATTGGAATCTATGAAGATGGAAAACTGGAAACAGCCACATACACATTGGGACACGTCAATTAGAATTCTTTAAAATTATACGTTATGCACTGTATTATATATTTGTTTTTGTGCTTTTTTATTTTCTTAATAAAACCTCAAATGTTATGAAAAATATAGGATTCTGTCGTGTATTCAGGCTGTGTCGAGGAAGTTTCCCGTGAATGTCAGAAATTTAAAAATGGAACATATAATACTCAGGATGCACAATTGAGGAGTGTTGGCATATTATATGTATCAGATACGGACATGGAGTGTCTGTGCTTCGTCGTGTAGACTCATCATTGGACCCTTGCACATGTAGGTGTCTATTTAGTCATCTATGAAAAAATTGGACAAATGATAGTATACTGACAAGTGTAAGCACCAGAATTGAAGTTTAGTCAATTGAATCTTCTATGCTTCTTAATTTTATTTGGTTGTAAAAATTTGTTTTTTGAGTAATTTATGAAGTAGAAATGCTACTTATCAACTGAGGGAGAAAAATGAAGAGAAAGGAAAAGTTGCTCTTACCTGGTAGACATAAGAGTAGGATTATTACTAAGGTCCATGATATCTTCTAGATTAGGAATATGAAAGATCTTGACCTATCATCTTCAATTTGATCTATATGATAGTCTATTTGTTTTTCTTTTTGTTGTCCGTAGTTCAGTAGTACCTAAATGATTATGAGATGAATGGATTTCTCAGGTTTAGTTTCATAGTCTCTCCTTGAGATAATTCTTACATGTTCATAGGTAACTGGTGTAGGTTTTGACTGTGTTAGTGTGAACTGGAAGAAGCATATGACAAATGTTTGATAAGATAAGGGCATATGTGGAATCCTATCCCAACGACATAAACTTTGCAATTGACTCAAGCTTATATGCTGCTTTCTGCCACCTTGTGACACGTAGACATGCAACTATATGCATGAATTGGGTTACAAGTGCATAGGTAAGACACAGTTAGTTTCAAATGAATAACCTGGTGAATAGTCACTACCTAAGAAGATTTTTCATCATGGAACATCATTCACTCACATTGTTATAATGCAATGTCACACTTGTGTCTGTTTATCTTTAGCGACGGTAATGAAATTCTTTTTCACTTCTGAGGTGCTCGACACACTCTCCTGAAGTTTTCCCATTTTTTACTGAAACGGTGTAGTAATGCTTCAAGCTAGAGAAAGTTTATATGTTCCTTTATCCTCTCTTTTGGAATCTCGAATGCATATTGGCTTGACCTGGGTTTTCAAGGCTTTGAAGAAGTAGGCAAATAAAATATCAACTCCAAGGTAAAAGTTTCCATGCATAACAAATATATTTTACGATAAAGGATGTTACTATCATTTTTTATGAACGGTTACTTGTATTTGTGACAGACTGGCAGTCATGTTACACTTACAATCACGCACCCCATCCATTCATGTTCATGATTGTTGCATCACACTCATGGGTATGATTGCAAGTGACTGAACCATACAAAATCACACTTCAAGTATATTTTCCAACATTTTAGTTAAAATTTGCCCTTTAGGTTGAAAATTATAAAAGCTTAAGTGTTCTACTCCTCTCTTTTGGAATCTCTAATGTGTAAAAATGGAGTGAGTTGGCTTTCCATGCTTTTGGGCAAGAGGGTGAATAAAAGCATGGAAATAACAGTAAAAGCTTCCGAGTAAACAGCAAAGCGTGGCTATTATACAATGAAAGATGCTACTATCACTTAGGGTGGACAGTCCCATGTTTCTGAAATTCCATTGCTTTTACGTGCTACATCAATTCACAAGTATGATTGTAATATGTGGCTGAATTTTTGTTTTAAATGACTAATGAAATTATTTCACAATTCCAAGGTACTGAATTGTGTAAATGCACTCTGTTTGAAATCCTTTTGCACATGATAATGAACTTTGCACTAGGGTTTCAACAGAGAGAGCTTATATTTTGAAATCTCAATAACATGTGACATTTTTTGTCAGTCCAAGCCTTTGAGCAAAAAGGTAAATAAAGCATCGAAGCTAGGGTAAAAGCTCCCTTGCAAAATGAAGCTATTTTACAATTAAGGATCCTATTGTCGTTCTCTCTCAATCGGAGCTCATGACGTTGTGTTACAGTCGTTGACACTCGTGGTTTTAATGGAAACTATTTTTTTTTTGAGCGACCGTACTATAATTCCTTTTCATTTCTGAGGTACTGAACTGTATACAAACTGATGGCTGTTATATAAGTATAAGCCTATTTAGGGTACCACGAAACCTTGAGTGTATGTTTGGTATGCACTATTGGACCGTAATTTTTGTTACTATCTTTAGGGGTGGGCGCGGGTTGGTTTGGTTCGATTCTAAAGAGAATCGAACCGAACCAAAATTTTCGGGTATCTAGTAAATGGAATCGTCGGGTCCAAATATAATTATGGAACCGTTCGGGTTCGGTTTCGTTCGGTTCGGTTCGTTTCGGTTCCATTCAGTTCTGTACTATAATTAAATTTTTTAACATTTATAACAACATTATAAAAATACTTACATTCAATGATTTTGGAATGTCAGAGATTAGTAGACTATCTTGTTCAAATGATCGCTACGGTCAAAGTTTCGGTCAGCGGAGGTCACAGCTTCGATCGGAGGTCACAGCGTCGGTCGACGATTGTATATGTTTTGGAATGTTAGCGAGGTTGCAAGAGTGGGTGCGAGAGTCGAGACAACGTTATGCACTTTATTGTAGGTGTTTAGGGTTATTTAGCGGATTGGATTTTGTTGGGCTAAGAAATGATACAATAAAATGGGTAATTGGGTTAAAAATTAAAAAATTAGAAATGAAACAAATTATTGGGTCAAAAATTTGGATTTAGAAATTGTTAATTTGTTTAGAAACAATTAAAATTAAAATAATTTGATTTACTCAATATAAAAAAAAATTAGAAAGATTCAGTTCTTCGGTTTTCAGTCTAGAATCGGGAATCGAACCGTACTCGTTGGTTCTCAATTCAGATATCCGTTCGGGTATTTAATTTGACAAGAACCGTTGGGTTCAGTTCGGTTCGGGTTCGGTTCGGGAGATTTGCCCATTCCTAACCATCTTAGCTACCTACCATACATGCCATTAGTTTCACAAGCCAGTAATCATTGTAGATGTTAGGGGTACTTTGAGGAAGGTCATTTTTGGCCTTGTCCGTCTTTTTCATGTGTTTCCTTGGTTAACAAACAAAGAAACAAAAAGGCTTTGGCATTGTTAGTGCATCCACCAGATCTGCAGATCTTAAATGCCAAGGACCACGTATTTAGCTACAAACATTAATTAACTTACCCGTATTGAGTGAACTTTGTGGTTATTATGTGTGGAAATTTTCTCTCGATTCATCCAAAATCTAAGAAAACAACTACTTCAAGCAAGTTGTGTGCTGTTTGTCGTTGGTTATGGTAACTACATTTTCTAACCTCTGCCTCATGCTCCCATTAACCCCTATGAAATTGGTTATTCATATTTCTATCTAAGCAACTACTGCACAAATGAACTGTTAACCATGATTGTATCCTGTTTAACAATTTTGTATTCTATTTTTTCAGTTTCAATTATGTATGCATGCAGATATAATCACCTTACAATTTATACTCATTTTAACTCCAAAGCACAGAGTTTCCTGTTTTATTGCTTCACATTACTGTAGGAAAACAATGACCACCCCAAATGGACATTGGTCACTAATCGTTCTATTTTATGCTTGAAGTTGCATGATCTTGTTAATACATTGAGGTTTTGTTGAGGATTATGTTCTTAAGACTGAAGAAGTTTCTAATTATTTCAATAATATGGTTGTTATAGGGCTTGTTTGAGCCATATTATTTTAAAAAAAATACATTCTTCAACAGTGATTAGACATCATTTCAACCACACATTCTTCAATAAAATAATATGACACGCAAATCTAAAACATTTCCTTATTTTTTAACCACGCATTTCTTATTGTTTGACATAAATAATTCATTTTTTTCCTAGAATGTGACTCAAACATGGGCATCAATTTGGGTTAGAGTTAATAACTGATGATCCGGACTTGTCCTTTTAGTGACAATGGTTTCGTTATACTGCATGATTTATTCTTGTTATTGCAGCTACTGTAATTTGAAATATTGCAACACCCTTCAAAAATCAGGAAATAATTTGCAATATTTGAAAGCTTGCTGCATCAATAAGCACTCTTAAAGTTTCATGATTTCTTTCTCTGTTTTTCTTTTTTTATCCGTCATTGGGTTTTAACATAAGACGCATTGACTTCACATCTGGGTTATCAATTCTTCCTTTTCGTAATTTTGCAGGCATCTCAATGCCTTTATGATAGCCTCTTCAAGTCCAGTCCATGTAAGACTCATTTCCGATGGATAGGAATGTAGGTTGCAGTTCTCTTTGCTGACTTCCAATGCTCCAAAACCTTCAAATGTTTTTGCGAACTTGTAATAACATGTGCCTGAATGGAGGTTACTGACTGGTTATTTATCTTGCTACATTTGTTTTTTATTTCATATTTTGTATTATGGATCTCCCTCTAAGAGTTACAATGAAGGTTGATGGACGTACATTGACAGAAATGAGGCAGAATTTTTTTTTGGCATTACATTTTGTATCTTCAAAATGCTGTTATTGTTAATGTTGTTTTCAGGACCTTGACGCTGAAGAAATGTGTGGTAGATCCATGCCAATTGGCTGGCTTGTCTTGGCTATTAACTTTCTTATGTTGTCGTCAACAGTGGCATTATTCGGAGACAATATCTAGTATTCTTTAGTGTGTGAAAATTTAGTACTCACTGTCATTGTATAATTGCATGTATTACTGATTCAATTAAGCTCATGTTTTGTTTCTATTTTCGAAAGTTCATTTTTACTCAAATTCATTCTTAATCATACATTTTACGAGATCTACGTCTTTTTAACAAATATCGGCTTTTGGTAAAAATTGATGAAATTTGAGATTGAAAAGTTGATAAAAATTGTAATTATTTTGAAATGTGTGGTTGAAAATGAATTTAAAAAATGTAAAAAAAAAATGAGATTTATGAAATGGAGGTAAAAAGGGACTAAGAATATTAAGATTTTTCTTTTTTCCTTAACAAAGATAAAATTTAACAAGACAAGTTTAGTGACTAATTTGAAAAGAGAAATTATCAGTCCAGGTGGAATAACACTTCTGAGAAGATGGGTAATAAAAAAAATTTTAGGGAGAAATTTGCAAGGAGCTTTCTGAACTTTTCGCGTAGTGGTTTTGATTCAATGTCATCGTTAAAATGTGATCTAAGATAAAAGTCAGAACATGAAGTCCCTGTTTGATTCCCATTACAAAGGAAAATTAATGGGGGGAATAGTGTTTTTTTGAAAAATTAGTAATTGAAAAAGAATGAAAAGTTTTCGATTTACGTGTAATATTATTTTATATAAGATTGTGTGTTTGAAAATAGGAGAGAGAAAAATGAAATGTAATAGAATTTAATGTAATGGACTCGCTAAGTTGCTAAATTTTCTTATTTTCCTTGCTTTCTTGGGGAACTAGAAAGCGTAATTTTGAATTGTTGGGATTAAGGAAGACTATTTTGTGTCGTTTAAAGTTGTCTGGTATATGTACAATTCGACATTGATGGAGAGCTTCTGTAACGGCCACATAAGGCCGCCTCCTCCACTTCAAACCTCTACGCCAACAAACCGAATTCCATCTTTCTCGGTTCACTCCCTGTAAGTACATTAAATTCCACTTCTCATTTCAAACTCTGACATTTTTACCACAAAATGCACCCTCCACCCAAGATTTTCACCAGTTAAAGCACTAGTTATAACTTATAACTCCACATTTGGAACCCAGTAGTTCGTGTAATGACACGGTCCTTCAACTTCCAAGAAACACCCTTAGTTATAGTCATAATGATGAAAACCGGAGTTTCTTCTTTTACTTCAGTTAACAAAAGGGTTGGCAGAAATTTTGAGCTTGAGAAAAATCTTGTTTCTACAGTGGATGAACCGGTTGAGAGGATGCCGGAGGGTCATACTTAAGAATAGACATTAAAGAAATGGATTGAATTTTAAGAACAGAAGAAAAATGGCCTCTACAGATAAAAAAATTTGGAAAAAAACTGTTAAGACTGTTAGTAAAGTGGAGGGGTGTGAAGATAGGTGAAAGATTCAAGAAAGGTAAAAGCAATCAGGTGGACGTAGAAAAGACAGAGAAGAGGTCTAGAAAAACAAAAGTACAGACACCGGAAGATGGTAAGAGTTGGGCTGGATATGTGTTCGAAAAGGGGATATATAATGGGGGCGATTAGGCTGTATGAATTGGCAAAGAAGGGTGGAATAAAGTTGTCCCAGTATCATTATGCAGTTCTGTTGCATCTTTGTTCATTTTGGATAGAACACGGTGTCTATCCAGAGGAGCCAGACTCGAGCACTTTTGAGATTAAGCATAGAAGCTTGAAAGAGTGACATGGTCTATTATTATGTGTCAGACAGGTTTCACCATCTACAGCAGCTTTGATTGAGTCGTGGTTTAAGAGCAAGATAGCCCCAAGAGTGGGGTAAAAGAAAATGGGATAAAAAATTGATTATTCAAGCGCTCAAGAACGGACGAGGTGGCTGGTATGGTAAAGGAAAATGGACCATCTCTTCCACACTTGTTGGATCAGATGGCCTATGCAAATGTTGCAGTGAAAAATTAGTCACCGTTGACCTTGATCTTGTAGAAACTCAAAATTTTGCCAAATCAGTGGCAACTATAGCTGCACAGAGAGAAACATTCAAGCTTTCAGAAATTTCAAGTATGTAAAGCACCTATTATTCTTCTCCATTTTTTCCAAAAAAAAAAAAAAAATCAGCCACTTACTTCACAAGTAAGAAATGCCACACGTGATGGTCTATCCGTAATAACGATATCCGTATCTCGTTATTACTTACGACCACGGATGATTTAAGATTCAATCAGATGTAATTTGTATCTCACAATCACAACTCCTTGTGATTAATAAATTACAAATATTTGAATCTACGGACTCTATTATTTATTTAATTGTCTATTAATTAAATAATAGATCTGCCATTTAATTGCATTAATTATATATAAAAGTATTTATGTCCAAAGTCGATTGGACCTAGGGCATAATACTTACACCACCTCCATGTTCTGTTGTAATACAGGCGATTCTTGACCCTTGTTTTTGTATATATAAGGAGAGTTAGAGGTACATAATTTCTTTTCAACCTTAACCTGAATGCCAATGATATATACATTTTCTATTGCCATATAAAGCTGGATAAGAAATCCATTCTTTTCCAATCTCCCTATTTTGAAGTCAGAATTAGTTATATTAGTTGGCGGAGCATTCTTATCCATTATACCGAACATAAGATCAGATGAACTTTCAATATTTAGACGAATCATATCCCTGACTGCGATTTGTACAGGCACGAAAGACTCATAAAATGACCCTATTTGTGGATGTGAATATCTGAAATTATGTCACTGATGCTTTAACTTGATAGGAGTCGGAGAAAGGCCACTGGCATATTCCAATTGTATCAGAAGTTGAACATGAGGATCAAAGAACATGGTTATGCATCACATGTGCAAACTGGGGCTTAGTAGCAGCGTAAGATGGAGGTAAGAGCAATGGTTTTGCTATTACAATTTCAATAATAAACCTTCTGTTTTGTTGTTTTGGCACTATCTGAAGATTTAACCGAAAGCATTATAATCTGTTCTGGATAATTAATTACACACACACACACACACACTAATGTAATCAGTTTTGCATGATTCTCCAAGTGTATTACTTACACAAAGCAAATGCTTGCCATGACTAGGAACTTGTCGACATGTGCATTATGAGTAGATAGAACTTATTATCACGTATTCATGTTCCACTAAAACTTGTAATTCGTGCTTTTGTTGTAACTTGTAAGTCGTGACACTAACCTCGGATTCAATAGCAGAATCTCAATTCAGATTCCATAAATAACAAATTGTACAGAACATTTGAGAATCCAAAACTACAGCAGATAAGAGTATAAGTCGCAAAAACTCAATGCATGTAATTGAATGGTACACGATTGAAATTCACAGATATTAGTTTTAGTAGCAATTTTTGGGATTTCTGTCTTCTTAGTTCTGACTTGGCAACCCATAGTAGAGGTCTTACTTGATTATGTGATGGTCAAGTGGCCGAGCCTACATAAACATCTTTTCACTAGTCAAGAATCAAGATCTGCAGTAACAAACATAGAACAATGACATTTCCTCCAAAATAAGTGATGAAGTTCGTCGTGCAACAGACCCGATGATCTCGACGCATGATAACAGATTTTAACCTTATTGGCCCCACTAAAATTAATGGTCAGACCTTAGATGTGGCACAAAACTTTTATGTTACATCACTTTTGTATGTCTGCATGTATCTTGTATTGCATGGCTCAAAAAGAAAACTAGCATTGATACACTAATGTCAATACAGAATCCTGCATATCTCACTCAAGTACCCGGAGGAAAAAGCAGGTTAAACTAACAATGGCAAGACATGCCAACCAGGACTATAGTTTGTTGGAAAAAAAAATTGAGTGAGCAGCTTACTTTTGACACAATTTTCGATGGGACCGGTTGGTCTAATGCGGAATATCAAAGTTGATATGTGTTCTCCTCCGCGAGAACATCGATTTCATGTATTTATTTGCCAAAAATGAAGTTAGGGTGAATGAGAAATTGAAGTTCAAAATTGGTCATTGGAAGTTGGTTTTGTGGGAAAAAATGCATTTATCCCACATAGGAAAACCAATGAAACTCAAACCACTTCATATATGGCTATACTTTGGAGATGTGTAATCATGTGTAGCATAGAAACTCTCTTCACGCGCGCGCGCGGGGGTGCAAATCACGAACCGAAATGACCTTCGGACCTTGAATTTGGGTGCGGGCGCAACCTGCGCACACGAATGTTAAACCGAACAAGGCAAAAATTGTCCCATCGGAGAGCCCACGTTTTGCCAATTTTTTTTTGGCCTTCTCCAATGACTTTTGAGTTTCTAAACTGAAAAAACTCCAATGGACCCCCAATGGTCACAGTGTTAATGGGAAGTAACTCCAATGGTCACAATATTAATGGGCAATATGCCTATAAAAAGACTTATTCTCCAACAATCTAACACACGCGAAAATCTCACCTACATTCCTGCATACAAAGTTTCTTATTTTCTGCATTCCTTGTCCAGTAAGGTTTTGTTCTTGTGGTGATATTGTTCAGAAACTAAATCAGTTCGTCGGAGTAAAATCGCGGTGCTCGGATTCTGCTTGTTACCGTTGTATCCTGGGAGATAGCCGCTCAAACTGAACCTCCAGTACCTACGGTGAAGGGGCGAAACTGTCTTAAAGAAATTGTGCATGCACAGGCTTCGGTTTGAAATCTGCTGCAGTTTGTGTTTTCTTTCTACAGATTATTTTCGTATTACTATTTAATTCATGCAGTTTGTAGTTCCATAGTGTGCAGCTTCTAGATTCATCGTTTACAGTTTTAGCCTGCAGTTAACTTATATTTCTAATTTTGTGTTGCTAAACATTTTTTTCAGCCGTTGGAAAATTTTGAAACGGAATTTTTTTTATAAATTGAAATCGTTTGCCTTGTAGTTATTAATTTCAATAGTCGGCTATTGCAATTGAATAAAACTTATACAATTGGTTTCATCCATTAGCGACTTGTTTTCCTACAAGTTTAAGACAGTTTGTGAATTCGGAAAACAAGAGTTGGTTTTTGGTTTCTTAGAACTAATATTTGG